ACAAAGACTTAAGTCTTGATCCAACCTTAAGAAGGGGGGGGGGGTAACATAACATATGTTTAGAATTAGCCTGAGCTCAAAGCATGTAAAAATATATAGAGATATATGGTTTTATTTTTTTGGTGGGGGTGGGCTTTAAAGAAATGGCATGAGACTAATGTTATAGCTTACAGGTGTTACAGTGCTTGTGCTCTGTTCTCAATGCAGACAAAAAAGAAGAAATGAAAACTAGCCTTAACTTTGTTACTTATAAACATTGTTGACACTGTGGATCATGGAGAAAACTACACCAGCCATGCAGAACTTACCTGTTTCTCAGTGTGAGCATTCAGATGTGAACTGTGGCCAGCAGCCATTAAATAACAGCTCTGTTGTTTGAAAGCAAACTTCTTAACCTGTTAAAACAGTACCTTGTGTCTGAGTCCAGGAAAGAAATTCCTGAAGCTCGTGTGTGTGTGTGTGTGTGTGTGTGTGTGTGTGTGTGTGTGTGTGTGTGCATGTATGTGTGCACGAGTACTCACTCCAGTGTTGCTGGGAAGGGCTTCAGCTCTGCTGTTTCTGGCTTTTGTTGCACTAGAAAGCTCATCCTGGGGTGGTGTATTAGAATGTGTGGTCAAGAACAAGTAAGGTTTGCATTTTTTTAGAGAGAGCATGAAAATTAAAGAGGGAGAGAGGGAGAGAGAGAGAAATAGAGAAAGTGAAGCACAGAGAGACATAGAGAAGCTTATATCATAATTTCTGGGAAATAAAGTTATTCCCTGTTATTTGCTTCACAAAATAATCACAATTGCTTTGTGCATAAATGCATGTGCTGTCTTTTTCTTACTGTAAAGCAATAGTGTGGCTTTGTTTTTCATATATAGCGTTGACAGAGACAGAGCCATCTGAGTATGCCAACGTAGTGGGACAGCATGGGGCATAGTAATAGTTAGATGTTATCCATGTGAGATGCACCAGTTTCGAATTGTGTCTTCACAATTTTAATTTTGATGGTGCTTCTGTAAAGAGTATTGCAGGACTACCTTTAGAAACCTATTAAAGAGGGCTGGAGAGGTTAAGAGCACTGGCTGCTCTTGCAGAGGACCCGGGTTTGGTTCCTGCACCCACATGATGGCTCACAGCTGCTTGTGAGTCTCTTCCAGGGTTTCTGACACTCTCTGCTGACCTCCACAGGGGCCATGCAAGCCCAGGGAGAGAGAGCGGCACACATGCACGCAAAACATTCATACAATAAAAATAAGTAAAGATGCAACATTAATAAAGGAGTAGAGAATGCAGGTGGTATTTTAAAAATTCTTTAAAAAGAAACCAAGCCTGGCAGTGGTGGCACACGCCTTTAATCCCAGCACTCGGGAGGCAGAGGCAGGCAGATCTCTGTGAGGTCGAGGGCAGCCTGGTCTACAGAGCGAGTGCCAAGACAGACTCCAAAGCTACACAGAGAAACCCTGTCTCCAAAAAATAAAATAAAATAAAAATAAATAAACAAACAAACAAATAAATAAATAAAGTAGAAACCAATCAACTTTAGAAGAATTTTTGTTTTAGTGATTCTGTGCCTGCTGTATGTTAGTTTTAAATGTTTTGAGCTGTTTTCCCCCGTCTCTCTATCCTACTCTCTTGCACACTGTGTTATTAGTACTTTTCAGCAAAATTATTTTTTCCTCTCCTTTTATTCCTCTTCTGCGCCTCCTCTTTTTCTCATCATAACGTTTTTTTTTTTTTTTTTTTTCAAGCACCCATTTGCCTGAACATCCTGTACCTCTTGAACCTCTGTCTGGAAACTGATATGACATATGACACTCTCTCCTCTGAAAACAGTATTTGAGCATAAGATTTTACTGGTCATTCTTTGTGGGGGGGGTCTCTGCAAACCCTGGGGCTGGCAGAGTAACCATCCTAATGAGACAAGAATTAAGTTCATCATGGCTCGGTAGTCAGTGTTGGTTTAAAATTCTAAAGTTTGACACTGGACGGATGTAACTAGTATGGTTTTTCCTGCCAGCCGCCTGGTCTTGTCCCACCGCCATGCCAGCCCCAAATAACACACAGAGACTCTGTATTAGATATAATTCTGTTGGCCCGGTTACTTGTTTCTTATCGGCTAGCTCTGCCTTAATTATTAACCCATTTCTGCTGATCTATGTATTTCTCTTCCTGGGGAGCCGGCCGGCATACTGCTTTTTCCCGACTGTCCATCTTGGCTCCTCCTTCCTACTTCCTCTTTCCTCCTTGTCTCCTAGTCCCTCCTATCCTCCTTTCCTATTGGCCAACAGAGCTTTATTATTAACCAGTATGAGAAACATATATACATAATGGCATCTCCCATCAGATGGAGACGTTTATTGTAGCCATGTTTAAGTACAGTACAATTGGATAAAGGTTTCCTGGTGTAGCACAATCCCGTGTGCACAATGAGGTATAATCACAACTCTTCTCAGAGTTCATGTCATTCTCCAGGAAGATGGGTTCTAAAGACAGACCACATATGTTATGTTAAGGGCCCAGGGGGGAGGATCTGATGTGGTTTCGGTCACACAGATGCTGTAGAGGTCATCTGGACTCTTGGCTATCTCTGGTCATGGTTGTAGGAACTTGGGGAATCCCCTAGCCAAACAGATAATGCAAAGGTCACCTAGATAGTTAAGTATCTCCAGTCCTGCTTGTGGGCGCTATGACCTGACCTTACAGAGAGCTCAATGATCACCTCGATGAGTGATTCTCATCCTGTGGAAGGCAGTCAAATGACCCTTCCACTGGGGTTGCCTAAGACCATTGGAAAACACAGATTATTTTTAACATTACTATTCATAACAGGAGCAAAATTACATTTATAAAGTAGCAGCAAAGATAATGCTGTGGTTGGGATCACCCCATCATGAGGAGCTGTATTAAAGTGTCTCAGCACTAGGAAAGTTGAGAACCCCAAATCTAGACTATTAGCCACCTCCAATCCCAGCCTTCTGGGTGGGGAGGGGAGACAGGTTATTCATCTTTTCCCTCAAAAAGACCTCTCTGCTTTGTTTTACATTCCTGGTGCTATGTATGTGTGAGTGTAAGGACCTTTGTGGCCCTCAACGTTTTCACCAGATAGAAAACTCGAGAATGAAATAGAACACGGATAGAAAGCGTGGGCAGAGTGTTGCATGACATTGTGGCGTTTGGGAAACCCGGGCAAGAGTATGTTTGGCTCTGTGTGTAAAGCGATGGTAGAAGCACAGGACAGAGAACTCCAATTCCCTGCTTGGCTAAGGATGCCTTGAACTTATGATTCCCTTGACCATATACATCTAGCTTGTGCAGTTCTGGGGATCAAATCCAGGGCTTTGTGCCTGCCAGGCAAGGACTGCACAGAGCCACACCCACACAGCTCTATTGGCCTCTTTCCTTTCCTTTCCTTTCCTTTCCTTTCCTTTCCTTTCCTTTCCTTTCCTTTCCTTTCCTTTCCTTTCCTTTCCTTTCTTTCTTTTCTCTCTTGGTCTTTGGAGACAGTGTTTCTCTGTCTAGACCTAGCTGTCGTGGAAATAGCTCCTATAGACCAGACTGGCCTTGAACTCACAGAGATCCACCCATCTCTGCCTCCCCACCACCTGGCTATTGGCTACATTTCCTGTTGGAAGATTTTGAGCATTCTCAGGACTAGTTCTCTACAGAAGGTGATTGGAGGGAACACTGTGAAGAGTCGCTAATGTAGAGGCAGGTGCTCTGCTCCTGACACTGTCCTCGGCCCCCAGGCAGGCCCCATCAGCCCCCAGAACAACTCTGCAGAAGCCAACAACCCTCAGAGCAACCCTGAAGACCCCATCAACTCGTAGAGCAAGCCTGTAAGGAAGATCGTGTTCCTCTCTGTAACCATCCACTGCTAGCCAGAATCCAATTTGTTGTTTGTTTATTGAAAGTATTTATTTTATTTTTCTGAGTGTATACAAGTGGTTGCTTGCATGCATGTCTGAGCACCACAAATGCCCTCTGTGCTGGCTGAGGTCAGGGTAGAGGATCATCTGGGACTGGTATTACAGGTGGTTTGTAAGCCATCACATGGATGCTGGAATTGAATAGGAATCTTCTGTAAGAGCAGCCAGCCTTTAACCACTGAGCTGTGTCTGCAGCCCGCGAGTCATTATTTATTTATGGTTATCAGCAGCATCATGCAATCTGAAATGGTGAAAAGGGCTCAGGTGGACAGGTGGAACTGAGATTTGAACCATGGCAGATTGAAGCCTAGGTTGTTCACGTAACTAGAGTATACTTCATTTTCCTGGGCCTTCCCAAAACATAAGTTCCAGTTTAACTGGAATCTTTTTATTATTAAATATTATTTGGAAACAGACTCACATATGCCAGGCTGACCTTGAACTCCCTGTCTCTGTGTGGCTAAGAATGGCCACAAACTCTTAATCCTCCTGCCTCCACCTCTCAACTGCTGGGATCCCAGAAGTGCACCAACATATCTGGTTGATGGGTTTCTGGAGGTGGCATCCAGGACACTGTTCACGCAAATACTCTTCCAATGGAACTACACTTCCAGCCAGTAACTTCTTTGCTTTACAGAAGATGTGGTGGCTGGGAGGGGTGCTCAGGATGGAAGTAGAGGTCTGAGTGGGGTTGGGGCACAAACCCCTGCCTGCTAGGTAAGTCCTCGCTTTATTCTGGAGGTCCATAGGCGACCCTGCACTTTGCTTCCCTCTTTCAAATACCTGTGCTAGCCTGATGGGCATTTTCCTGAGGGCACAGCCAAGAGCTTACCTACAGAAGGAGTCCCATGTTACCAAGAAGAGCTGGTATAAGATCACCCTGGTGTGAGAAGGGGATTACCCCTTCCAGATACACCTCTGCTCAATAGTGTGTGCCCCCCAAAGTTCATGAAGGTCATGTAAGCTTCTTCAGTGGATTTTAATAACATAGAGCTTTGTTCTCTCTCTCCCTCTCTCCCTCCCTCCTACCTGCCTCCTGCCCTCCCTCCTCCCCTCTCCTCCCCTCCCCCCTCATCCCTCATCTCTCAGGTATGGAAAAATTGTATCCACGAAGGCAATTCTTGACAAGAATACGAATCAATGCAAAGGTAGGTGTGAACTCATTCTACTGTGAGCTCCCCTGGTCTGTGCCCTTTGGTCGACGGTGCCTCCAGTGCAGAGGTCCAGGTGCACAGTGAGTGCAGCCTTGCAGCTGATGGCAAGCCCGTGTGATGTTGTGGGTGCTTTGATGGGTTGTATTTCTGGTAATGCTGCTCATTAATTTTTTTCATTAACAAACAAAATGAAAATCGCAAATCAGAACAAGTATCAAATTGCTTCAACAGAAACCTGATTTAACTTCTAACAACTTGGAGTTGGTCTGATTTGGATGATACTATCAATGATACAAATTGATTTCCTATGTAAAGATGAGGTGTGCTGGAGAAAATTGTCCCGGGCAAATCAGGCTTTAATGTATCTGTTCTTCAGAGCTCTTGCAGAGATTTGTTGACTGGAAATGAATTTAATGATGGACCAATTGTATCTATGCTTTGGTTATAAATATTCACGACATTTCGGGATATTATTAAGTCAGGGCTTTTCTCCCTTCTCCCTGATGGACATATTTCAGAAATCATTGGACAGTGGCAGTGGCCTGTGTTTCTTCATGTCTGAATTCCCACACAATGTTTAAAGGTTACATTAAATTATTTGTGTCATCTGTACAGCCACTGCTACATCAGTTGGTTCTGACTGGGAACTTAGAATGCTTCTTGTCACATATATTATATCTCGCCCTTCATCCAGTATTCATTATGATACTGGAATCAAGCACGGCGTGTAAGCCAAGGGCATTCACGTACTCTTAAATGTACCCTGGGTGATTCGTTTCAATAGCTCTTCAAAGAAAGTGATACTCGTCGGTGATCAGTTCATAAGTACATCCAGGACAACACCAGCCTCTTAAGTTCTGTCCATGCATAGTTGAAAACAAACTAATCCTAAAATGAGCAAGCATGGAAGCTTACCTGTATTCAGAGCACCTGGAAGGCAGAGTCAGGGGATCAATCATCCCAGTAAGCATGAAGAAACACCATGCCTTAAACTAGCTGGACCTGTGAGCTATGGAGTCAGCTATAGATGCTGCCTCCGTAAACACAGGAAGACAGCCAAGACACACACCTCTGGAGTCCAAATGCATGCACACGCGTGAACATGGCCCCCCCCCACAATACATGTGAATCCTGATGACTTTGGGAGGACCATCGCTGACTGCCCTGGGAGAGTGGGAAGTAGAGCCCAGGACCAGAAGTAGCTGCACAATACTATGGGGGAGAACATCCCTTCATTGAGAATGGATATTATAAAAGCAAGCAGGAAAGGAATGGCCCGGAAGGCCAGATGTTCAGGAGAAGATTTTCAGACTTAAAAATTGTATGGACCCTGGCACAGGGGCACAGAGTTTAGGAGACTTAATTGTATCTGTTGGATCTTAGTAATTAGGAGCACTTGTTACTTTTGTACAGGACCTGAATTCAATTCCCAGCATCAACAGTGTCTTACAACTGTAACTCCAGTGCCAGAGTCTGGCCTGCATGGGCATTGGCCATATGCAGTGCACATATATACATACATACACACGCATACATACATAATGCACATACATATATGCAGGTAAAATACTCAAACACATAAAATAAAAGATAATTTAAAAATTAAAACAAAGTAATATTGTATCCTGGAAGCATCGTAGGCCTCTTATTATTATTGTTAGTTATTTGGGACAATTATCGTGATTCTGTATGTATTTCAGAAAATATGTTTTAGAAAAATGAGTGGAACTGAATTACTTATTAAGGAGTAGGCATTATCTCTCTATATCTATCATCTATATATCAATATGTTATCAATCTATAATTCAGGTGGAGGAAATGTGGAAGTCACCACCTTGGTTCCGAATTACTGTTGATGAGGGTTTCTGTTCTTATTATCACCCATGGGGTTACTGTGAGAGTTTTCAAAGGTGCTTATCAGTAGACATGATTAGGGAGAACAATTATTGAAAATTGCTAACAATGGCCAAAGAAAGCGATGGAGGAGTCTGGAGGAGACAAGAGCTGGTCAAGGCACATGGGCTTGATTGGCCAAGCACTAATAGGAATGTGGGGGATTACCAGAGTGCCCCAAAAGGAAAACAAGGAAAAATCCAGAAAAAGACCTAACTGTAGCAAGTCTTTCCCTGTCCCGCCAGCCAGCTCCCAAATAAGCACAAGAATATTTCTTGTTAATTATTAAGCTTAGCCTGATAGCTTACACTTGTTCCTGACTAGCTCTTCTGACTTAAGCCAACCGATTTCTTTGAATCTCTGTGCTCTCAAATGGCTCGGTTACCTTTACTTTAAAATGCCCATGCTGCTTGCCCTGGGTCCTGGCATCCCCTCCCTTCTCCTTCCCAGTGTCCGGTGTGCCTGAAAATCCTGCCTCGCTGTTGGCCATTCACCTCTTTCTTAAAACCAATCAGAACAACACATCTTCAGCGTGTACAAAAAGATGATTGCACAAAACCTCATGTAGACAGTTCTCTGGAGAAATAATGAGATGAATACCAGAGGTCTATAACCCCTGGTAGAGAGAGGGGGCTCTTATGTAATGGGAGAGGCTAAATATAGGTGGGAGGGAGACCCTCCTCACAGGTCCTGTGGTAGGAGGGGTGAGGGAGAAATAACAACTAAAACTTGAGGCCTCACCGGTTAAGCGCACCTGATGCTCCTGCCCAGCAGACCTGGGCTTTTCTCTTCTCCCTCAGCACCAAATTGTTTAGCTGTGCACAATAGGCTGTGACTCCAGCTGCGGGGGGTTCTGATGCCCTCCTCTGCCCTCCGTGAACACTTGCACACATATGCACACACCCAGAGGCACAGACCCACATATCCCTAAACATAACTAAGAACACATCTCGAAACTGCACACTTGAGAGGGTTATAAAGAGGAATAGTAGCCACAGGACAGGTTCGGCAGTCATGAGGAACAGGAAGAGAGACAGTCATTTCCAGAGATGGTTTAGAAGCACTTAAGTAGCAGCAGTAGCAAGCAGGCCATCTGCTGCCCGGTAATGTAAATGCGTCCATCCCGCCCTCACAGTACTGTCTTCAGTTAGCCACGCCTTCTACCAGAGTCCTCGTGCAAAGAGCAGTGAAGGGGGTAACTTCGCTATTGTGACACTCGAAGCATTTTCTCAAACGCTCTATTCAAAACCATCCTCGCAAGTCTGACCTTTGTTCCTCTATGTTAATAAAAATACAGAAAATACGAAAACTTCTGAGGTACGTAAACTGCTATAATGGAAAATCATGAGGGCTGCAATGTCAAACCATGGGGAATGCTTATGATATGAAGGCGAGTCGATATAAGAAGAATGTAAAATTATGTATGTAATTTATATGAGGAGGTGTCAACACTGAGAGGCTGTGGTTATGACTTCCGTGGAGTCTTTCTGCTAGGATATAATTGTCTCTCAGCCGACCAGCTCTGTGGCTTAGGCTCAATCCCTCCACCTCACTGAATCCTGCCTGTGATGACAGGAAGGACTCGTGCATAGGATGCTGTGGTGGCAGATTTACATACAGAGACACTCCACATACTTTATATGATGTCACATAGAAGTCTAACACCTTTTATCTTATTTATTTGTGTGAATGCTGTACATGTATGTGTGTCCATGTGCACAGGGGTACATTTCTTGATTGTTCTCCATCTTATTTTTCATTCAGGACTCTCGCCAAACCTCTAGCTCACTGGTTTAGATAGACTGCTGGCCAGCAAGCCGCAGGGACTCTCCAGTCTCTGCCTCTCCTGAGCTGGGACTACAGGTCTGATAACTTTTACATAGGTTCTGGGAACTTGAACTCAGCTCCTCTTATTTGTATGGGAGTCAATGTACCTACTGACCATCTTCCCTGCCCAGGAGACTGGCAATAGTTTTTGTTTGCTGCTTGTGTATTTGTACATTGTGTGTATATGCATGTTTGCATGTATGTGGATACATGTATATGCACACACATGTCCACATGTGTGTGCATGTTTAAAGAGGCCCAAATTTGATGCCAGAGATTGTCCTTAATTGTACTCCACTTTATTCACTAAGGTGAGGTCTCTCCATCGAATACACAGCTTGTCTATCTGGTTAGTTTTCTCCGAGGAAACACTGTCTCCTCTTTCCTAGTGCTAGAACTAGTGACGGGTCACCACTCCAGCTTCCGAGCTCTGAGGATCTGCACTCAGGTTCTGACATTTGGATGGCGAGTTTTTTACCCACCAAGTCCAAGGCTAGCATTATGAAGGAAAACACATATAATTGCGGTAGTGTAGGAGCACAGCTGATACTGCTTTTTTAACATTTCTTTACATTTATTTTCTGGCATTTTTCAAGAGAGAGTAAATACAGCTCCCAGAACAACTCAGTTGATTTCAATTTTTGATTCCATTTCGTTTTATATATGTGTATGGGTGTGTGTTTGGGCCCCATGTCTGTGTATGCAGTACCCACTGATACCAGAAGAGGGCATCGGGTCCTCTGGGACTGGAGTTACAGTGGTTTGTGTGTTTGCATGTGGGTGGTGAGACTAGAATCCATATTCGAAACCATTGAGCCATCTCCCGAGCCCAGAGCTAGTTTGAATTTCGGTTGTTAGGTGACACCTCAGAAACGTGTGGCTATACGTTATGTGTTTTGTCGGATGATTTCAGGTGTAATTGAATTTGAAATTGTTACCGTTCGTTGCTGTTACCGTTTGTTGCCTTGAACAATAAGCAGAAGTGGAGTTCTCCACAGCCTCTTCCTTAAGGCAGGAGATGGAAGTGTGGGAGGTGTCTGGGTTTCGTTTTTAAGCTATTAAGATCATGGAGGCTGTCATTAGAGGACACAGATTGGATTTAGTCTTCACTGAGACACTTGCTTGTCAGTTATTTACAACCTCCTCTCTAGCTGGAGGCTAGGCAATCCTAACAGACCTCTCAGGAGACAAGGACTTACTCATTTCTGTTTTTTAGAAGATGTAGCCGGTTTTCCCCAAATGGTCACACAGGCTGAATGTCCTCATGGTTTGAA